ACTCAATAACTTGGAAAATATTTGGAACCGATCGGGAAGTCATCATTTCAGAAAACTTCGTAGACGACCGGTTAATGTATTTATGGTGATGGACAACATTTCGCTTTTGACGAAAAAGCTTCATCAGGTGAAGTGAATTATCTTAACAGTGGCATTTTATAGCGATTAGGGCTAAACTACACACAGAGACGAATCAATTTGCAGTTCATCAATGAATGGTTACAGTGGTCAAAGGTCAATATGTTCGTGGGTACACTGTAGTTTGTTTCAGTCGGGGTCAAGTGGGGAAAAGAAATTGCCGGTCCGCGGATAGTTACATGAGCCGTTAGCAATCTTAACTGAACCATTCCAAGGAACTTGGACATTGATAGAGCTTGGCTTTGGTACTGTGTAATTTTGTGGAGGGGTGTTCGATAGTTCATTTCGATTTGGGATCCATCCACAGATGCTTATCAAGCTGGCCGGAGTAAGACTGGACTCCAGGCACTAGACAGCCCTACTCCGTCTATTCTATTCACGCAGTTGTTAGTCTTGGTTATTTCTATAGCTTCAGCAATCAGCCTCTGTTTGGCTGATTGTAATCCCTTCCTGATAATCTCCACATTTTCGAAGTCAGTTTTGTGCCCCGTGTCTAGCGCATGTATCGCTATTGCCGAATCTCTGAGTAGAGCTCCATATTCTAGCTCATTTCGCGGAGGTCGTGATATGTGCCGCCTATGTTCTGGCCATGGGATCTCCAATTTCCCCCGTATTAGCCAATATGTACATGGAAGAGTTTGCAAAGAAAGCATTGCCAAATTTCCGTCGTGTGTTAAAAATATGGTGGCCCTACGTGGATGACACTTTTGCAATTATAAAAAGGGATAAAAAAGAAGAATTTTTAAACTATTTGAACTCTATTGACAATGCGATAAATTTCACCATGGAACTTGAGTCGCAGAGCGGTACACTTCCGTTCCTCGATTGTCTGGTACATAGGAAGGAAGGAACGTTAAAAACAACGATGTATCGCAAACCAATGGACATAGATGGGGTACTCAGCTATAGTTCAAGCCACCCAAAGCACGTGTACGCAAGAATGGCCTCATCACTATTTCACAGAGCAAGTGCTCTGTGCACGGAGGAAGAAGATAAGAAGGCAGCACAGAGGGAAGCGATGAAAAACTTATTAGCGAGCGGATATCCGAAATGATTAGTGAAACGACAGCTACAGAAATGTCTCAACCCACGCTCAACTCCAACCGCAGAGTGGATAGCGACAGTGGGTATTCCGTATAAAGAAGGAACCTCGGAAGCGATTCGGAGAGTACTGAATAAGGAGAAGATAAGGGTAGTTTTCCAGAAGGGTCGAACGCTACGGTCCACACTTGTGCACCTGAAGGATACATTCTCTTTAGATAGAACAACTAACTGTATTTACAAAATTCCATGTAAAGATTGTACACAAGTGTATATAGGCCAAACAGCGAGGGAATTACGTACAAGGATTTCGGAACATAGGTGACACATATCACGACCTCCGCGAAATGAGCTAGAATATGGAGCTCTACTCAGAGATACGGCAATAGCGATGCATGCGCTAGACACGGGACACCAATTTGACTTCGAAAATGTGGAGGTTATCAGGAAGGGATTACGATCAGCCAAACAGAGGCTGATTGCTGAAGCTATAGAAATAACCAAGACTAACAACTGCGTGAATAGAATAGACGGAGTAGGGCTGTCTAGTGCCTGGAGTCCAGTCTTACTCCGGCCAGCTTGATAAGCATCTGTGGATGGATCCCAAATCGAAATGAACTATCGAACACCCCTCCACAAAATTACACAGTACCAAAGCCAAGCTCTATCAATGTCCAAGTTCCTTGGAATGGTTCAGTTAAGATTGCTAACGGCTCATGTAACTATCCGCGGACCGGCAATTTCTTTTCCCCACTTGACCCCGACTGAAACAAACTACAGTGTACCCACGAACATATTGACCTTTGACCGCTGTAACCATTCAAGTTCAAATTGATTCGTCTCTGTGTGTAGTTTAGCCCTAATCGCTATAAAATGCCACTGTTACGATAACAACAGCACTGTTTTATTTATGGGCGCTTTGTCAAGCGGCTGCAGCGGACGAACGTCACGATGCGGTCTCGAGACACCAGTTGGGTAGGCCTGGCCATTCACAACAAAGGTTGGCATGTGATCGAAGGCAGCTGACGGAACCAGTCCTTCATCGTGGCACGGTTTGCTACGGTGCAGGTGTGAACACGTTGCTGTAGTCAGACAGTGGAGGCCGTGAGCATCTTTGGACGTGTTTAGACACATGATGTCAATCGGCCCAGCAACTCAAAATCGGAGGTGAGCCCATGTGACCCATAAATTAAGCCGTGCTTTGTTCCTACTATATTCCGGTCTAGCATGTCTCGTCTTCTGCTTTATTTTCCCGGCTGGGATGGCGGTGTCTCAGGCAGATAGCAGAGCCAGGACAGTATTACAGCAAACCTACTAGGTGTTTGCCGATAAGACGCAGCTCAGCAGTGGACAGTTTTCTAACTGGGGCTTTCCCTGCCAGTACCACAGTAGGCGTAAATTTCCTGTAACGAAGGAGCTCGTTCAGTTGGTGATAGTAGTCATCTTTAGCGAGTTAGCACTAAATTTGTGGGTGCGTATGCACTAATGACAAGTAGGCACTGTTTGTCCCAGTGCGACTTCGGAGCTCTGAGCAAGCCATTCAGTCGGATAGCGTACATGTGGCTGTTCGTTGGGATCAAATTGATCAGGGGGCTTCAGCTCGGGGACTCACATCAACATCCACTCAAGCTTGACTGACACTTAAAGCGGCGTCATATCCAGACAAGCGCAGTTAGAATATACTGCCAGTATCGCATGTGGGGGATCACAGGGTAATCACACAGGTCGAATATTGCAAGCAGGTTTCTGATAAGCAACATATCGTGATCGATAGGGTCTACAGTGTGCGAGTAAGTGCTGCCTGTTGAAGTGATCTGTACCAAAGTATACATATTGAGACATGACTGTGTTAGCGAGAATCCGTTGTTCCAAATTGAAACGATTGAACTGATGCTATCCACTTACTGCACGCTGACTTTCAACTGGACCAGAATAACGCACTGCTATTATCTGTGTGTGTGTGTGTGTGTGTGTGTGTGTGTGTGCTGATACTAGAAGACAAACGACTGTCGAAACTAGGTAGGTGAGAGCCATGACTGGTGGAGTTGAAAGCAGGAGGAGACAAAAGCGAAGTTGAAACTGCACAAGAACGATGAACAAGCTTTAGAGAGGAAATGAGTAAAGGAGAAGAAGGGTTCAGTAACATCCTCACTCCTATGCATGCTGCACAGCACAGCAAATAAGGCGCCATTAATTAGTTGCGACGGTCAAAGCATCAGGAATTTGTGGGAAGGGAATTTCATCATATTGCTTAAATGGGATCCCAACATTATCATCGTCATTGCTGAAGGACAGCGGTGTTTCGTGTGAGTAGATGTTGCAGCGATTTTGGTCACCATTTGCGCAAAATTGCAAGTGATTTGAGACTGGTATTTGCAAGTGTTTTCCTTATCTTCAAAATGCACAGAAAACCCATCTGGAGATCATTCTTGTTTTGTTGCTACCTGGACAAATCAGATGCATTCAAATGAAAGTATTGTGTCTACTGTCAAACTAACAACATGCACCGAAAGACGAATCTGCCCTGAATGCACTGGGCTAAGTACAGGGACCTTCAGACATGTATTTTCATTTACTTCGAGTGACACTGTAAATTGGCTAGTTGCAGCCGTTATTTAGACGACTGACTACTAAAAACGTTAGGACTGACAAGAACTAACGCTTCTGGGGACACCGATTTAAGTGGAGAGGCAAAACGATGTATGACTTGGCAAAATGCAGTGATAAAACCGCCTGGAACTTGTGTCGCATTTTATTCTCATGTGTGACTCGAAATTATCCCACATGGATTAGGGCCCAGGTAGTGCTAATTGCTTGCATCCATTAACGAACTGGCTCACGTGATCACTTACATATTCTTACTTTTCGTTGAGCATGTTAATGCATGACGGGCGACTAAAGGCCAAGGATATTAGAAAACTCTGACGTGGTACAGAAAGCGATTATCATTGGTTATCAAAGAATCTGGTGCAGCATAATTCGTCTAGATTACACATTCATCATTGGCCGTCCAGCCGATGGAAACATAGGGATCCCGTCTTGGTTGAGGTCCATCAGGGGGTTGAACATGGGGTATTGGTTTATGGTGGCTTCGGCGGTAATCTAAGAAGGTGTCGAAACCCGAGAACCAACACATTGGTCTTTGCAAAGCGTAATCAACTAGTATGATCCATTGGTTTGTCCGCAGAAGCTTAAGATCTGTATGTGAACCCATCATGCGCTCTCCTAGATGCCACATGAACTTCCCAAATATGTACTTGATTGCCACATTTCAGCATTCAAAATTTGATGGAATGAACAAAAGGCATCCGAACAATAACGTTGTTGCTTGTTAATATCCCTGATAAAATCGCACTTACGCTCGAGCTCTATTAGGTAAGGGCAGCGAAAATGTTACCCCACTTCGTCGTTGGGACAACTCGCTTACTGGTTACAGTCAGTACAGTAAGCGTTAATAAACACATTTGGATTTCATGTATTGAGTGGATCGATTCCATAGATCCAATATTTTTCATCTGCTCTGTTCATGCGAATGTTGTGACCCAACCTGTCTTGCTAATTTGTCTATCCCCACGAAACCAGGCATCGATTTAAATGGCATGAACGTGGTATATGAACAAGGTACTCCAAATGACCCTCCATTCAGTATTCAATTTGTTCATGTATGACCAATCTGACCAATCAGAGAATAGTTGATCGGAAATCTCGCAGGTGTGAAGAGCAGTTGGTCCCGAGAAGTGATCGGGGACAGACAGAGATAGGGGGTTTCAACGGTTACAGTTCACAATGTTCACTTTGTTCTTTTCTATTTTGTTTTTCAGCCAACACTATTCGCTAAATGTGACAAGCCGGTCACAATGAGTACTGGAGACACTGAAATGTGCTGCATCCAGGAAATTGCGCATATGTACCGGTATATATGTGAAAATGAATCACTGTACTCATATTGTATAACTTATTCCTTCTCTTTAAGGTTGAGAGATGCGAGTTAGAAATTGCATTGGTTAACGTATGTTACTATTTGAGCTGTGTGGGCAAAGCTATGCGTAGGCTGGTTTATTTACACAATTTTAACGTGCGCTGGAGAAGCTAACCATGGCTCACATCACAAGTCAAGCTTAATTTTGTCGGTACCTGGTGACCTTTGATCTTGCGCGTCCATTGTCCGAAATTGCCACAACCTTACTCACCAGTGTCAGTTACTTGTCATATGTGAATCATGAAAGTGTGGATTGCAGAACCCGAATAAATGGCACTACTATACCATTTCCGAGTCAATTTAGTTAATAGAGGAAGCAAATTGGTTCGTAAGCATTTGTAACTTGATTCATAAGCATTTTCAAGTTGGTGCGTTTCAAAGTTTGGCTAAGGTGCACACACGCACCGACGAGTAGCTTCCTCATTGGTCAGACATCGTCGGCCAACAGGATGCCGTGTGTCACTATTAACTAACTTGACTGGAAACTGGTATGGTGTCGCTGTTAAACCATATGGAATTGATAAGGTGTAACAGTTGCAGACATGCAAACAGTTCACTGGTCACACTACTTACGTGTCATCAGTAATAACACAGAGAGCTTATGATGCCAACTGGCAACTTGCAACCTGCGCAGGAGGACCGATATTTGGTCACACAAAATACGTTCCAGATATGGAATAACAGATGTGTTGTAAGCCCTTGTTCTGGCAAAAATGAATTGATACTTTTGTCTGGTACAACATGTTGATACAAACCCAGAGAGTGCGCCAAGAAGAGGGTGACTTGTATCAGTAAGTATTCTCGGAGCAAGCCTTCTGCATGAATTGACGTGAGTGGACACAAGAATCTCAACAAAGGTCGGCTTAGGAATTCCATTACACCGAGATAATTACGTTAGTGACCTATCTAGGATTTTGAAGTGCCACTTAAATAAACCAGGAAATATCACAGTGGAGCAATAGGTCCAAAGTGGTAATACACACGTGGTGATAAATCTCAGAATTAAGTAGCGGTTGACAGAGGAGGCTGGCAAACGAATGGCGTAGAACGAAACCCTCCTCACCTCTGTAAAAAGCTTGTTAAGACCGAGTGACCAAGAAAGACCACGACTGAGTTTTACACGTAGGTACTTTACTGCCAACCTAGAGTGAAAATTCTCGCCATCTATGTGAAGTTCAGGGTATTCCTTGTGAAGTTGCTGATAACCATGGCCTTTATGTAGGAAGAAAATAACGTTATTGCCGTTTGAAGCATTCAGCGTTAAAAGGTGAACTCTACACCCTAATACAAGGTTGTCCAGACAGGCATGTAATTTAATTCATGAGGCTGCAGTCGGTTATTGCATACCCAAGACTACGTCGTCCGCACATTCCAGCAAAACCGCAGCGGTAGGGGCAAGTACAGAGGCGATGTAGGTGGAAAAGTGGTGTGAAGATAGCATGGCCCTTCGAAGAACTCAAGTGTCCGTGATGAGTGGCGAGGTTGTTTTACTTCCAATTCGAACAAACTGGGCACGTCCAGTGTAGTAGTCTCTCAAGTGTTGGACAGTAAAGTGTCAAATCCCGGCATCGTACAGGTCACTGAAAAGAAGCATACGGTTTACACTGGCAAAAGCATTACTGTAATCGGGAAAAGACATGCATACGTAGTCGAACTTGTTGTCTAGTGAGGACAGTAGTGCATGTACAAGATAGGCCAGGGAGTCTTGAGTAGACCTCGTACTACGATGGGCAAACTGTGGCGGATTAATCTGAATGAGTCTGATGCAGCAACTTTTCAAGCATAATCTCGCATGTCTTCAAGTTTACCGAGGTGCAGGCAATTGGTCGGTATTTATCTGAGCCTTACTTTGGTACCGGTGTAATTCTGGCAATTCTTCAGCAATCAGCAATATTACACTATTTCTTGCACAAAGTGTATAGGTCCACAAATAGCTGGGGCAAAGAATCAACACACACTTTGAGGACAACTGATGATAGTTTGTCCGGACCACTTGGTTTGTTGGAGTTTAGCAGTAGTAGTTTACTGCATAACGCGTTTCTGTCAATCGCAGGTAAGGTGGTTGTGGGCCTATTCAATCGTGGGGAAGAAAGGTGTGAGGTGGAGTTGGCATTGAAACAACAGAAGTTTCGGTTCAGTACTTCCAGGTCTACATCTGGATTTGACACTCGGTTAGAGACTCCACTAAGTTGTTTCAGTATAAGCTAGACATCCGGCAGTAAGTATTTCCCAGTATGCGCTTGACATATAGGCGGTTTAGACGGCTCAACGCAGTTTTGACAGAAATATAAAAAGATTTTACCGCAGTGTATTCATGCGAAAGCTGTTCTACTATTGGTCAGTAGTGGTGACCGTAACGTGCTATAATAGCGGCTAATGAGGTGTTGGGCCGTCAGAACAGAGTTTCACCGCATCGGACAGAATTTCAACCAGATGGAACCATGGAACAATGGTTTTATGCGGGTGCAAAAGGGAATGCTTAACAGATCCCGAAGGATGGTTATAGTGAAATTTCAAGATATAACTATTTGTTAGCAAAACAGGGTTTACACAATGAACCCACTTAAGTATTCGTAGTGAGGACTGTAAATCCAAGGTAAATCCATGATAAATGACGGCAAATTGCATGTTGGTAAAAATCGAGTCTCCTCGTATGACACACATATAGGAGGTGAAAAATTGGAACGAAATATTGGACCGGCAGTGAAATCTCTTACAGACCGTTGTGCAAAAATTCATGAGTGGTGCGGCGAAATAAGTACACAGTTAACTTTGGCTATCAATTTGCCAGCGTCGGAACACATATGACAGATGCCGGTAGGGCATTCCACCTTCTGCAAACGCGTAGGGAAAAGAAATTCCGTAAGCATTCCAAACGACTATGTTGCTCCGCCAGTGGTCTCTCAAATTGCTGGTGTGACTGAACTCTAACAAATGCCGGCACGTGTGGTTGGGATCTCTCAAAATCTGGTATGCCAAGATGAGGTCACCGCGCAATCGCCGATATTATCAGCTGAAGACGCTGAGGACTTGTAGCTTTCGTTCATACGGCAAAGTATACAGACCCTTGACGATTTTGGTTGCCCGTTGTTGGGCTATCTCCAAGGCGGTGAGATCTCTCCTCAGACATGGCTGCCAGACCTGTATTGCGTATTCCTCATGGGACCGTATTTTTGGGCCGAGAAGTTGTCAAATATCGAAGGGTCGAATCGCCCAAATGCACGCTTCAGGAAGCCCACGGCTTGGATGACCCTTCTTGACGCCATTTCAGCCTGCTTCGAACATACTACATCGACCTGGACAGAAAGTTCAGATGTTTATCACCAGAAGATATTTGAAGCTTCCGGTTCCCCAGTTGGTAGGAGTGCACCAATTTGTGCCGTAGGTGCAGCACCCTATGTTAGTCCACATTGCAACGAAGTAAATGCCGGATTGACCACTTGTATACCCTATCCAGATCAGCTGGAAGTACCGTAATGTCATCTGCTGTATAGACTCATCCACACCTTGAAGTCGTCGGCATAAAGAAGGCAATACGAGTTACTAGGCATGTGATATCTTTAAGATAACTCAAAAATAATCGCGGTCCTATGAACAATGCATCTGAACAATGAATTTATACGGGTTAAGAAGCATCGCTTTACAAGTCCTGTTGGATAGTTGGTGGGGATAGTAACATAACGACAAGGATACCAATGATAGTAAAACAACTGGTACTTTAAATATGAAAATAAGGACTTATCATTTGCTCCGCTGTACTCCTGCTATCAGCTTAGTTTCAAAGCACCAACAGTTGACATCAAATAATTCCATGGTCTACTCTAGGTGTAGGATTGAGACGTAGTGTTAAATAACAAAGTGTAAGTGGATGAGTGCATCGTCCAACCGTCTTTTAAATACTGTTAGTGTCGGTGCAGAGACGACCGATTCTGGGAGAGCATTTCACGGGTGACAGATCCGAATGGAAAAGGAATTTCTGCGGCACTCCAGGCGGCTATACTGTACAGCGAATTTCAATGAGTGGCCACTCAGGATTGTACTGGTGCTGAGTTGCAGTAAAGGGCGGCACACATGACGTGGGTCTCACAGAATCAAGTATGCCATAAACAATACGCTTCCTAGTCTACGATAGCTTCCGCTGTATACCCTCAATCGTTGCAGCCTCACCTGGTGTGGAAGACTGCGCATTACAATTACGTTCTTAGATTCGAAATAATTTGGAACACCGGTAGCCCGGCTTGGTTGCTCACCTGTTGATCGTTTTTCCGAGCTTGATTAAGAAATCGCTCGTTCTTAGATGTCCGACGTTGTGGCTGCTCCAGCGCAATAAGGCCGTGTTTCAACCATGTATGCCAGTCTTGAATTGCGTACTCGACATGAGGGCGAACATACGCACTGAACGTTTGTCGAAATATGGAGCTGTGTATTTGTCCAAACGCCCGTCGCAAAAGTCCGACGTGTTGGTTCCCAGCCTTCGAGGCCTTTTTGGATTGTCTGGAGCAACCCAATTCATCTAAAACCAGGACACCCAAGTCACGTTGGAGAGTGGATCGTTGTGGTATATTCGTTCCGAGTCGGTATGAGTAGCTGCTCTGATGTCGGATGGAAAGTACTTTGCATTTACTGACATTGAAATGCAGTAAGTTTGGGGTTGACCATTGATATACCGTATCTTGGTCACTCTGAAGCACATGTTCGGTGTTCGCCTGGACCTTGCGCCAGATCTTGATATCGTCGGCAAACACTAGGACGTTTGCAACGATTCCCTCAGCAAGGTCATTAATAAACACTAAAAACAAATGTGGACCTTTGACTGAGTCTTGCGGCAAACTACTCTCAACTTGTATGGGGTCCGATAA